CAGCGTGCATGGACCAGTTTGGAGCAGGATCCAGTGCTAAGTGCTTATGCAAAATGCTTGCAAGCAGGCATCCTCTGTGCTTGGCGACGTCAGCCACCACAACCTACCGGAACCCTTGCCGCACTGCAGTTGCCCGATTACCGGATCGATGTTGTCAAGGAGTTGTGGGTTTTCTGGTACTCCCAGGAAGAGCCGAGTTGCCTTACCGAATTCACCAATCATCTTGCTTGTATGTTCAACATACTTTTTTTCCAGGGCTTTAGCTCTTCATTCCTGTATTTCTTTAATGTCTATGTAGTTCTGTGTCTTTGTAGTAACAGCCCGTCACTAAGACAAGCTACTATTTCTGGATAAAAGGTCTTGTAAGATCCATGGATTAGGCGGAGGATGAAAAAATACCTTCATATCCCCCTCAAAATGCCAAAGTCGTCGGTAAGAGATTAAAGAAATGTGGAAAATTTAACTAAAAGAGTCGAGAAAATGCAACACTTGATCAGACAAACATTAAGGATGGCTCAGCTTGGAACACTAGAGCAGAATCAAGGGAATTGCCTATTTAACGGTGGGAATGCCACGCATGTCAAGCACGCAGAAAAGAAAGATTGTTTCAAAAAGATTAACTTACTGTTCTCGTTGTTTCTTCCCGATAGAAGCCGAAAAATTTCCGCTCTTGGTTCTGTTTTTCTCTGAAAATAACGTTGTAGAGACTGCTTACTAAACAAAGATTTGCAATTTGTCTTGATGCTTTGAGGAGTTTCATTGTAACATGCCGTTTTGTGTAGCTGGTCGCAGAAAGCAGTAAGTTTCTGGAAATTTTAGGTGCGGAAGATGGACAAGGCAACTGGTCAGTGCCCGGCATACAGTACGAAACCAGGACGTTATTTTTCAAGGCACTACACAATTTAATAGAAAGGTAATTTTTATTTTTATTATTACTCTTATTATTTTGTTAGTTTTCATGTGGCAGGTAGTAGAACACAATGGCAGTTAGACTGGGCTCGCCACGCCACCCCCTCTTCGATTCGTTCATTCGTTTCCACTGTGAACTGGCACTATGATGTGCCAGCGAGTGAGCTTTCATGTTTTGACACTTTTCGCCAGCACCAGCACCCGCCTCTTGCAGAGAGCGAAACACCCGGCTGGGGGGGAGGAGCACTGTCACTTCCAACTTTCGGTTTTTTTCACGACCGATTATACACATTTTTTCTCACCGAAGCCTTTCTTGCTACTTAAGGGGAGTAATAAAAAATACATAGGCAAGAGTACGGTACGTGAAAAGCGCGGAGCATTCGAAGCGGCCCCAGAAAGCTCATTGCATTCGATGGCCACAACCCTTTTACGTAGAGAGATAGATTATCAGCTGCATGGTGGTGCATCTGTAACGTTCTTTTGCTGCGTGGTCAGTCTGCCTACCTGCTCTTCTGCTTACGAATGGCCTGCTTTCCTTTTTCGTTCTTTTCACTAAGGGCGTATTAGATCGCTCCGCCGCTGATGCAGTCTTTTTCCATTTAATAGCTATCCTTCCGCGCACTTCATAATGGCAAGTCGTGCAGAGATATGTGAGCGAGTTCAGTCGTATACGAATTTCTAGGCTGCTAATAAACACCACATAGTAATACGTAGATCCACACCGAGCTGCTATCACGTTTTTCTTTTTTAATACTCTTTAGTAAGGAAATGTGAAAAGCCTCATACTCTTTAGCGCATTTTGAACCGACAAATTCCATTTAAGAGCGTCATAATTCAGGAAAAATTTTGCAGAAATCTGTTAAAAAATGGATACATACGTATCGGCAAATATTTCACACGCCCATATGAAGTACCTTCGTCCGATCGTATACAGTGTTCTCCCAGGTAATTTTTTTCTTAGACTAGATCATCCTTACTTATTGATGCATTGAGGGGCGAAAAAGGAAATTAATTAGATATGGAGTTTCGACAGTGTGAGTCTTCTCGTAGTACCTTCGAGAAGGGAAGCACTTGTTTGCACGGCTTTCTGAACGATCTTGCTGAAAAGTAGTTTTCATGCTCGACCATGCAGCGTGTCTGTCGCCTGCGGTAATATCGAGTGCTCTACATAGGCACTCGGTCCTGGAGGTCTTCACTAATGATCGGTTATTACCGTAAGTGGTATCAAAACAGAGTACCAAGAAGGGTGTGCAACGGTACCCCCCTATTGCCAGCATGCTGCCAAAGCTGAGCGCATCTCCACCGTATCCCCAGTTGCGCACAGTCGCTTTTCATACAGTGAATCCTCCTTGTCAGCCAATAGCGACAGCCGCAGTGGCGAAACTCACGAAGGATTGCTTATCGCATGTCTAATGGGAAATATTTTTCGATTCTCTGGGATCACCATGTACAGAATCATTGGTCGTAGAAGGTGGTTTCCTCGACAAAAGTATGCCTTGTTCTTTCGAGGACAGAAGGGCCCGTGCTGCAGATAAGTGAAATCATTGACGGACCCAGGGTGAGGCGGAGGGGGGGGGGGCGAGGGTAGCAGTTGTTTTACTGTACAAAAGTCTGATCGGCACCCCGTGTCGTCCCTCCTCTCCCGCTGCGCAGAAGACCGCCCTAGATCCGCCTATGACTAAAATTGACCCGGGTTGAAAAGCAAGAACTCGAACAACAGTGAAAATCCACTCACTGATTGCGACTCCTGTCAGAGTATGATCTGTGTACTTTCTTTTAGTTATGTGCTTGGGATCAGCTTTAATTTTTTTGTGCATGGCGAAAATACCGTTTGCGCCACCGTCTCTGCACAACGGCAGCCAACGCTGTTTCGCCTGTCTCGGCGCCATCTCAGTCTGGGCAAAAAGCAGTCCGTTATACTCGGACCGTGGTCAATGCGTGCCATACTGCTACCCGACCAGCCACGTATCATCGAGCCATCCATGCCACAGCAACAACCTGGTATCGAGCAGTCAGGTGTGGTTTTGAAGATATATTTCAATTGTATTTGGCAGATATATTTCAATTGTATTTGTTGAAAATGAGATTTTTTCGGCTTTTGCGCTGTTTTTTGTTCTTTAAAAACGACCGTAACAGTGATAATAATAATGATAATAATAATAACAATAATAATTACAGCAATAGTAATAATGGTAGTAATAGCAATAGTAATAATAAGCGTAGCAGCTGCAAAAACAGTAGTTGTAGAAATGGTAATAATGCACATAATACTGACGTTGTTGATCTCTCGCTTTTCTACACGAATACGGGCTAAATGACGAAGAAGAACGAACGGAGCAGGATTAGTTTTTAGAAAAGCATCGTAGATATGCACAGCTAACATTACTCTTGTGAAAAGTATTTTCGAACACTTTTTGGGATGATTCATTTCTGTGCATTCTTGCCTCATCATCAGCTCAACTGTTTGTTTCAGGAAATTTTCCTAGTACCGCAATGCAGTTTCCAAGTACATGCCGCGAAGCTCCTCCGATGCAGGCAGTTCCACATCAGACAGATCCAATGGCATGCTCGTCGCATGGTCCAGGAACAATTTCGAAGGCTGTTGTCGATAAGTTATGGGCTGAATGGTTGCAGTTTTTCTGTCTCATTGTCAACGATGAACGAAATGTTAGCGCTACGGATACCGTTGGACACGCTGGCTGTTCGGGAATTGTAAGTGAAAATGCCGGCTTCATCGCATTTTTTGCAGTGGTGTGTCCAGGAATCATATTTAGTTGCGAGGGAAAGCTTATAGTTTAGCCGGCACACTATTAAAATCGACAAATTTGAGTTAAAAATGAGGTTCTTTGACTACTTCTGTTTCTTGAATT